TTATATTATATTATAATATATATAAATATATATATCTTACAAAAAAATCTTTTGACTGGTAGTGTAGGCTGATTATTCTTATAGAGTGAAACAAATGTGCTTCAGCCAAAAAAAAAAGGGTATGAAAAGTGCTCCGAGTCGCTGCCGAAAACAAAAAAATTGAACAACAACAGAAACTTGAAATGTTGCTGGAGACGGGCTTATTTGAAATGCAAACTCATTCTCTGCCAGCAGGGGGCGCTTTTAGAGTGATAAAACTAGCTGTTTCTCCAGTAATGGCTGTAATCAAAGCAGGTCCGCTCATGAACGCTTCTTTATCAGATCAAATGAAAATGCCATCGAAACTTTTCTGAAGACAGTCAATTCCCTTCAGAGATACATTCATATAAAACACCCGCGCCGTGTTATGATTTTGAAACGTGCAGTGCTCATGTTTATTCAACGAAGTCAAACGGCACAAATAAATCAATGTATGGGAAACACTGGTAATGTATATCGAAATATCGGAAATGTTTTAAAAATCATATCACCGTTACTGAAAAAAATTATATCGCGATACATATTGATATTGAATTATTGTCCAGCCCTAGTTTCAACATAGATTAGTACATGTAGACCTATAACAGTAATGTTTTTAACATGTCATTGAGTAAAGATCTAATCAGGGCCTCAACATGGATTTTGGTATAGTAAGTGCTGATGTGTATTTCTGATATTGTGTTTGATGGTATTAGTTTTTTCATGAGTAGAGCTGTATTAAAATAAAACTTATTTTCATATTATGGTTGTGTCATGTACCATCACTACTTCTTCCTGCCCATGCCACCTTCCTCTTCTCTCCCTGGAGGCTGTTTTTTGGCAGCTCTGAAGAAAGAGTGTGGCCACCACTTCTTGCTCTGTTTTCTCCTTCACTCTCCCTGCCTTCTTCCTCTCCTCCTCCAGCACAAACAGGGGTCTCATCGCGGGGATGAGGTTGTTGAACCGCCGTGTTGGTGCTGGGTTTTGAGGGTGTTACTAGGATGTTGATCGTACACCTCGCCAACCGTCATCGGACTCACTTTAGTCCCATCGCTGTGAAAACTCACTGACCAACAAACCCACAAATCCTCGCTTTATAAAGCCCGCGAGTTCTATTCAAACGCGCTCAATGGCGTCATAAAGCTTTTAGCTTCAAAATTTTCCGTTATTTTTTTATATAGGCTGCTGCAGTATCCACCTTTTTCTTGCCGTAAAAATGGGCGCGGCCATTTGTAAATTCTATGGATCTAGCTTCCGGTCTCATCTGCGTCCAGCTATTTTTAGCTGTACAAAACAGTTCGTTTTGCTGCTTGATATTGAAAATTGGTGTGCCTTACCATATTGTTTTAATGTATTATCTTAACTATGAACACACTGGTTTGTAGTATTCTTGTCGTTATTTACCTATAGCGGTTAATGATCCGGAAGTCTCGCCCATAGGCTTACTTCCGCGTTGAAGAAAAAGGTGGATAGACCAATTTGGAATAGACGTCACAGTTACGTCACTTGCAGCTGCGCGCGCGTAGTGGGTGGCAGAAAAACCAAGTGGAGGGAAACGGGTAAAATCCATGGAATAAGAGAAAAAATGTATTGTTGTGCCTTCGGATGTTAGAATCGGAATGCAAATCATTTTTATATAACACTGTCGTCAAAGACGCCATTTGAAGCTAAACGCAGACGTTTAAACGGACAGACTA